GCATCAAAAAGAATAAAATACCTAGGAATAAACCTAACCAAGGAAGTGAAAGACCTATACCCTGAAAACTACAAGCCACTCTTAAGAGAAATTAAAGAGGACACTAACAAATGGAAACTCATTCCATGCTCCTGGCTAGGAAGAATTAATACCATCAAAATGGCCATCCTGCCCAAAGCAATATACAAATTCGATGCAATCCCTATCAAATTACCAACAGCATTCTTCAAAGAACTGGAACAAATAGTTCAGAAATTCATATGGAACCACCAAAGACACTGAATAGCCAAGGCAATCTTGAGAAGGAAGAATAAAGTGGGTGGGGATCTCACTCCCCAACCTTAAGCTCTACTACAAAGCCACAGTAATCAAGACAATTTGGTAATGGCACAAGAATAGAGCCACAGACCAGTGGAACAGAATAGAGACTGCAGACATTAACCCAAACATATATGGCCAATTAATATACGATAAAGGAGCCATGGACATACAATGGGGAAATGACAGTCTCTTCAACAGCTGGTGTTGGCAAAACTGGACAGCTACATGTAAGAGAATGAAACTGGATCACTGTCTAACCCCATACACAAAAGTAAATTCGAAATGGATCAAAGACCTGAATGTAAGTCATGAAACCATAAATCTCTTAGAAGAAAACATAGGGAAAAATCTCATGGACATAAACATGAGTGACTTCTTCATGAACATATCTCCCCGGGCAAGGGAAACAAAAGCAAAAATGAACAAGTGGGACTATATCATGCTGAAAAGCTTCTGTACAGCAAAGGACACCATCAATAGAACAAAAAGGTACCCTACAGTATGGGAGAATATATTCATAAATGAGATCCAGTAAAGTGTTGACATCCAAAATATATAAAGAGCTCACGCACCTCAACAAACAAAAAGCAAATAATCCAATTAAAAAATGGGCAGAGAAGCTGAAAAGACACTTCTCCAAAGGAGAAATTCAGATGGCCAAGAGACACATGAAAAGATGCTCCATATTGCTAGTCATCAGAGAAATGCAAATTAAAACCACAATGAGATATCACCTCACACCGGTAAGGATCGCCACCATCCAAAAGACAAACAACAAGACATGTTGGTGATGTTGTGGAGAAAGGGGAACCCTCTTACACTGCTGGTGGGAATGTAAATTAGTTAAACCATTGTGGAAAGCAGTATGGAAGTTCCTCAAAAAGCTCAAGAGAGATATACCATTTGACCCAGGAATTCCACTTCTAGGAATTTACCCTAAGAATGCAGTAGCCCAGTTTGAAAAAGACTTGATGCACCCCTATGTTTATTGCAGCACTATTTACAATAGCCAAGAAATGGAAGCAACCCAAGTGTCCATCAGTAGATGAATGGATAAAGAACATGTGGTGCATATACACAATGGGATACTACTCAGCCATAAGAAACAAATTCTACAATTTCCAACATGGATGGAGGTGGAGGATATTGTGCTCTGTGAAATAAGCCAGGTGGAGAAAGACAAGTAGTAAATGATTTTTCTCTTTTGTGGAGTATAACAATGAAGCAAAACTGAAGGAACAGACTCACAGAATGTAAGAAGGGACTAGAAGTTACCAAAGGGGTGGGGCAGGGAAGGGCAGGTGGGGAGGGAGGGAGAAGGGGATTCAGTGGTAATATGATTGACCCACACGGTGTGGGGTGATCAGGGGGAAGACAGTGTAGCACAGAGAAGGCAAAAAGTGACTCTGTGCATCTTACTACACTGATGGGCTGTGATTGCAATGGGTATGGGGGGGACACGATAACAGGGGTGAATGTAGTAACCATTGTTTTTTCATGTGAAACCGTAAGAGTGTATATCAATAATACCTTAATAAAATAAATAAATTAAAAAAAAAAGAAAAACCCAAACATACATGAAGAAAATTAACCTCATCTGAAAGAATTGTTTTAGCTTTTGGGATTAAATGATTTTTACCTTTTTCAGGTTTTTTAAAAAACGTAATCCTAATCTTCCACAATCTGAAAACCAGTTTGTTGCTGATTTATTTCCCATCAAACAAGGTTCATTACCTACTTAAGCCTAATGTTTTGCAACTTTCAACTCTCTTGTAATTAAGCATTTTAACTACAAACTCATGGAACTGTGGATGGTGATAGGTGGATTATCTTTAGGATCTCTAAAGGGTACATAAATTACCCATCCTTTAGTTTCACAATGCATTTTAATGGGAAAAATGTCTAAATGACAAATTGCATTCTCTAAGTATTACGCAACACTTACAAATGCTATATAGTGACATAGGGGAAAATTCACAGTATGAAATTACAAAAGATAATGTATAATGGCCCGTTTTGTGTATTCTTGTCAGCAATGGACCTGAGAAAAGTGAGCCTTTAAGTAGCTGTCTAGTAAGTGAATCATGGGTGTTTTTAGCTTGTCTGCACATCCCAGGTTTCTTCCCAGTATGAATGGTTCTTGGACTTGGACAATACACATTTCTCCTCCGTGCACTTGCCCAATCCCCCTCATTTCTGCCCCACAAACCCACACTTGTGCACACTTTCCCAGCACTGCAACGAGTATTTATTCCCTGGGGCTTCCTTGAAATGATCAATCTCAGTACTAGGCAGGTCCAGTGCCTGAAGTCCCCATTAAGTCACCCTTGAAAGGTCCAATTCAACCTAACAAGCAGGGCTACTGTAGTTTTGTGTTTTACTTAACTAAAAGCTGTCTGATTTGTTTGCATTGTTAAAAAGTTGTCTTCCTTGTCCTTTTAGGATGTCTGAATTGATGTCCAGTCAACCACCTATCAATTATTGTTCAGAACTCATTGAAAGGGAGATTGAGTTTTTGTTAAGTAGTCATCCCAGAAAATATGCCACAGTGGTTTTTAAGAAATGTAATAGTTTTCCAAAATGTAATTGTTTTCCTTGGACAGTGATTAGTGGGTTCATTTTACCATAATACTCAAGGATGATCTACAAGTACTCCCAATCCATTTCCTAGAGATAGTTTCTTTTAGATATCAACTTGTACATCGAAAAACCGTTTTTTTAAAGAAAAAACCTCTTTAAATATATTATTAGCAATTAGAGTACAACTGAGAAAAGCTGTGACTTAAAAAAAAAAAACTCCTTTATCACCATTCCAATGGATAGGAGAGTTGGGTGGACAGATGCTATAGTTCTGGTACAAAAGCACTGCATGAACTGACATGCAATGAGAGGAAATGTTTCCCTTCGATGTATAAACTCTCATATTCAAAAACTAATCTATCTATATTAAGAAATTAAAGGCAAATTTTTCTTTCCAAGTTTTAGGCCCTCCATAGAATGACCACCATGGGGACCCTGGCTTCTAGTCCTTTCCATTCCCCAGGGATTGCCAAAGCCCTCCTTTGGGTGTTAGTGTGCCTTTTCATTACTTTTTCTGTTGTCTCACCCTTCTGTATATTATACCACCACACCTCACTGCTCCCTATGAACACATTCAAAATGGTCACTCATGGCGTATACGATGGTCCTTCCAGAGCTGTGACACTCGGGTGCCTGCCTTTAAAGCATTCTTGCCTCTTGCCAATCAATCCACAGAAAAAATGTCACATGTAGAGGTTTAAACTTTATTCCAAAGTCTCCCCTTTTAGCAGTAACCACAGCAAAATTTCTCCAGACCTGGTTTTCTATTTGGCAAATCAGTGCAGGTGTCCTATACCACTTTTAAAGGTTGTGTAGATCACAATAATGGAAGTATGATATACATGAAAGCAAATCTTGAAAATATGCACACGAACCAAACCAGATCTCACTCTAGTTTAGTCTGTACTTACAAGCTTACCACATGAGTGAATAATTACATATTTACTTTGCATCAGAGGACACGACTTGTTTTCTCATTACTAAACCACCTTTAGAGCACATTGTAGGTGTTCAAGTATTAAAAATCAAAGACTTAAGTTTTAAGAAACTCTGGAAGAACAAATGTGGAAATTCTTGACATAAAATTTAAGCCAGAACTTAATTCATGTGCTTCAAGAAATTCTTTTAGAATTGAGGTTTTATTTGAGGGTCAGTACACAGACATCTTAATCTGTACACAATTCTTAACGTACATACCAAATATCTAGAAAATCATGTAACTGTGATTTTTTTCTCAAGTTATTCCAGTGACTTTCCAGCTTAAACTTTCGAGGCAAGTTTTCCTTAATAGGATATCAAGTACCGTATCTTCAAATATTGATATGCTGTTACATCAGTTTCACTAATTCACAACTTATCATATACACTACATATGTAGATTTTTAATCTTTCACAGCACATTAACAAAGTTACTAGGAAAACTGGACTACCAAGACCAAAGATGTTACAGAGTGCACACAATTCTGACAGGAGAGCCAAGATCAAGGAGTGGTTTTCTTTAGGAAACCTACCAGAGACAACACAGGAGTAGAAGTAATTTAAAATGTTCAAGATATATTAAATGCACAACTGACTCCAAATTGCCATTTGGTTTATGTTTATATTACAGGATATAAAAACTACTCCCATTATGGAATGTTAAGCTGACACCCAAGACAATCAAAGCGTCCCATATTCAATACCCCACTATTTTCTGGTTGTACCAAAAAATAAACAACCAGCAAATGATTTCACCTCTTAAAAAAAAGCATTTACACTTAAAAAATGGGATGAGGTGGGATCCCCTCCTTCTTAAAAATGTTTCTAGAACTACTAAAAAACTTGCCATTTACAAAATAGTTGATAAAAATATTCCTCTGGATTGTACAAGAAGGGAGACAGGGACCACTGATAAGACATGGTATATGATATTAATCAGACTTGGCTTCTTTCTCTCCTGCTTCATCAGAGGCTGGACTCTGCAAATCAAAGGAAAAGTAATGACCAAAACAGAAAGGAAAATGATTCACATTACTGCTAAGATCATGGAGGTCTTCAGCATTTAACACATCTTAAGTTTTACTATACGTAACTATTAGGTCTTAAAAACACAGCCAATCTTCATTATTTTTGGATTCTTTACCTGTAAATTCACCTATTCACTGAAATTTATAACACCAAAATCAACTCTTGCCACTTCCATGGTCACAGACACAGAGCAGCAACAAATCTGAGTTGCTCCAAGTACTTTCCCAGCGGATGCTATTCTGTCTCATTTCAGTTCTATTTCTATTTTTGTGTCTTTTCTCCAGTCTTTTTGGTGCAATATTTAACTTTTTTGGGACAAGCACAGTATTGTCTAGTATTGCTAAGTTTGAGATGAATATGATGTGCTTTGTGGAGAAATATACGCTGGGTAGCTTCAGTAGGCATTTAGGCATGAGTTACAGTGCTATTTCTGTTGGCTCTGAGTTTGATGTTAACGTAACAGTGGCATACATGCCACAGACAAAACATACAGTAAGGGTGTGCATTCATCAGCTAATGGAAATGCTGTGATCAGAGTATAAGAATCTAACCCAGTATTTCACCTATGTGCAGGTGGTTCAGAATTCACAGCAACCTTACAGGACACAAACCATGATGAATAATGAGAATCAACTGCAGCTTGGTAACATGTATTAGAAGTTCAAATAATTTAGAACAGCAGTATAATGTCATCTTAATATTGCATAATGTTTAAAGTGGGTTAAACAAGAAAATGTAAACTGTGATAGCAAGTCTTACAATTTAGGAATAAATACTTGATTACTTTAAAATTTCATCTATAAATATAAAAGTTAAAAATGATACTGTGGTTTATCTTTCCTAGTTTAACCAACCTAAAAAAAAAAGCGTGGCTTAGAAAAAGCTATTTATCAAAACCTTGAAGCACACTTATATTTTTAAGAAAAAGCCTCTGTTCCTCATAGCTTAAAATAAGTTTTTTGATTCGTTGAACTGGGAGTTATTATTCCCAGACAAGTGGCTACTTTTAAGAAAAAATTTTTATTAGAAATAAAATTGTAAAAAAATGTGCCCAATGAGGGGAACTTTTAAATTCTAAAGCAATATACAGAATGTAAAAACAAAACAATAGTAGTTCTACAGATGGCAATAGGAGACCAGGATTAGTTTAAACAAGCCCCAGGGTCATGTGAAATAAAGAGAAGTGAGTGTTATACCACTGAGTAAATTAAATCCTTTTAACAACCCACACCAGGAATTTTAACAATCAACACTAGTACAACACAAATGGGGGATGTTACTGGTAAAACAGCAAGTACAGGTGCCCCTTGAACAAAGTGATGGTTAAGGGTACTGAACCTCCCACCCCCTCAACACACACCGAAGAGTAAAAAATCCACACATATTTTGACTCCTCCCAAACTTAACTAATAGCTTGTTGATCAGAAGCCTTACCAGTAACAAAAAATCAATTAATGCATGTCTTGTGTATGTATTAAGGTACTGTATTCTCACAAAAGAAAAGGCAATGTTTTTTCAAATTGTCAGATTTCCAAATAATTTTCTAATATATTTATTGAAAACAATTCATATAAACAGACCCCTGCAGTTCAAACCTGTGATGTCCAAGGGCCAACTTATTTCTTGTTCACTCACTTAAAAAGAAGCAATTTACATATGTATTTTCAAATATGATCTAATTCATAAAACAATTACTCAGTTACAAAACTTTGCACAATTATAAAAAGTAAAGGCTACCCTATCTGCTACTGATAATACCCAATTGATTATCTACTGTTCTGAGTCAAAATCACCACAAGAGCACTTCTGACCTCATTTTTAGTTTCTCCGTTTTCTGCAGGTAAATCTTCTTTAGCTTCCTGGTTAGCCACTTCGGCCTGCTTTCCCTTTGCTCCCCTTTTCCCTTTTGTTTGCACTTTCTTGTCTGAAGATTTATCCTATGACAGAGTAAGAGTATATTAAGTATAAATGTACTCCTATTATTTTCTGACTTGCTATAGAGACAGTATTCACAGGTGGTGTGATGGTAATGCTGTGTCACATGTCAGCCTGCATTATTTAGCAGACGTTCTACACAAGACACCTTAAGGTCCATCCCCAGTCATCAGGACAAGGGATGCTAAGGAGAACTATCTAACAGTACTGACATACCAAGCATCCTTGGACTTGATCAAACCTAAATTCTGAGCTACACAACTTCACTTTCTCAGTCACCCACTACTTTCTGAAGTTCCACATGATCAAACAAATAAAGAGAATAGTTGCAGGAAACTTCATCCCACTGTAACCCTACCCACCCCCCAAACTTCCCTTGAGCATTAACAATAATCAGACTGTCAAATAACCACTGTCCTGTTCAGACATTTACCCTCACAATTAACTCTTCACCTGAAAAAAAAATACCACATTGTAACGGTCAGGGTATCCTGCTACAGTTATCCCTTGGTATCATTTACTAAATAGCTGAAAGTATCAATTTTGAGTCTATCATTTTCATTTAGGTGGGGAATCTGAAAAGCACAGGTATTAGTATGAGGATAAAAGAGGTTAAAAATTTAAACCACTTTAAAGCAATAGGAATCAGTATTTTTGGACACCATCCATCAATGTTCAGGTGAAGGGAAGCCTAACACTTGTTAGTATTCCCTGCAAATAAAGAATGCAGGAACAGCTAAATTAAATTAGATCATCGGTGAGTTGTATCAAAGACCCCTCTCAGTACTGACCCAATACTTGCCACAGACAGACAAGCAGAACTCCTGCTTGGACAAACAACTCCAATGTTAAAGAGGGGGAAAATATCAGTGCAATGTATTCTGTACCAAAGGTGACATTCCACATGTAAGCATCACAGCTACTAAATTTTCCATGTCTTTAGGATATTAAGTTATGTAAACATCATATTTGGGACAATACTGCTACATATATGGCTACCATGAACTGTCACAATAGCTTTTGTACTTAAAACTGTTCTTTTGTTTCTTCAGGTTTCTCATTAATTTCATTACTACTATTCTAATAACCAAAAAAAAATTTAAAACCTTAAATGTGAAAGATAACCTTGATTAAATAACCTGAGCTAAAACACCACTTTTAACATTACTAGTTAGAAAGCTTGATGGAAACAAAAATCAACATGCTTTCCTAATGTTTCAACCCTCAAAATACTTTTATTAAGAAAATTACACAAGTCAGATGCACACTGGAACACACATGCTTTGTTAACATTGTGTCCCAGTAGAATGATAATCAATACATAAAAGTTTTCCCTTCTGTTTAAGGCTTTAAATTGGATTATGATGACAAAGATGTATTATAAAAAATAAAGCAACCACCCCTCCCATTTTTCCTTTGTGAAAACTTAACTGACAAGTTTGTTCCTCAAGGAACAAAGACATAAAGGCTTACCTGTTGGCCTCTCAGAAAGAAATATGTTGAATGTATCTCACATCCCAAACCCAACTGGGGGTAAAATCTCAACTGTTTTCATTTTAAAAGAACTTTTAGGGCAGACCAAAATATAGGCAGAAGTAAATAAGGAAGAAAATTTTAAGAGGGAAATGGGCATAGTATTTCAGCTAATTAGATAAAAAAAAAAAAGACTCAAAGCAGGATAATACTACACTGTTCGTGCCAACAATCTGCAACATCTGCTATTCTTTCAGTTTTCCTGAAAAACTTGAGATACTCTTTGTGTACAGAGAATTACTGCATTATCTTCTGGTGTAAGAAATTCTAAGTTAAGGTACCATGCTTTATACCTTCCTCCCCTTAAGAAAAAAAAAATCACAAAGCAGAACTTTGTATTGAAGAAAAGTAAACATTTTACAGTCAGCCCAACACCATGAATGTTTCAATAGAGAAATGGAGGAAGGAAACTGATCATGCAGTGCTAAGCTCTACCTGCACTTTTAGAAGAGGGATGATGATGGTGTTAAGGATTTTTTTTTTTGGCAGACTTCAAATTTAAACTCTGTTTTGAGTGAACAGAAATGAGTCACACCATGAATTTCCCCTGAAGAACATAGTAGTTTCCCAGAGGATCATTTCAATACTATACCCCAAATCGAAATTATAATGATTTACGTATTTTGCTTTTCCAACTTGTTTTCAAGCATACACATACCAAAGGACAACTTCATTCCAAAGACCTGTAACGTGAATAATGCAATCATGAATCTATTCCAGAGCAACGACCATCACAATATTTATGATTAAGTCAGACACTGTTAGGATAAAATGACTTAACTCCTTCACACACAACTGCCCAATAAAATATTCTCGGAATACTGTTAGTTATGCTCTCAGAAAACACAACTCTTTATCTACCCATCCACCCCTGCATGTAGGATCCCCTACCTTGGCTTTTAAATGTTACTTACAAACACCTATGTATTCCCTTTTTCCAGGCCTCAGTCCTAACTTTGCTGTTCTTGCCGAAGGGAAACAACAAGCATGCAAAGAACGCACAAGTGCTAGCCACAAGGTACACAACGTAAAGAATGGATTTCCTCTATAACCTAAAATTATTAGTATCTTCAATTATTTTAAGTTTTTCAAATTCTTCGGCAGCATTAACACAACCCATTACACTCCCTAAACCAGAATGACTATATCCGTTGTATTAACCCAGGCTATAGACAAACTGTTTACCAAAATTATTATTATATAAAAATTAGGGAGGCAAACAGGATACATCGTCCACTTTTCAGGAAACTGTGACAGCTAACTACTGACTACAGTGAGACTTTCAAAGCCAAGATATTAGACACTAACAGTGTCACGACCTCAGAGTCGCTGGTCATGTCTTTTTATTAAGAGAAAGTCACGCCTCAAGGAGCGCTGCAGCATTTCGGAGACACCACGGTCCGGTCTGCTGGTCTAAGGTGGAAACCTACCTTTCCTGCCGCCTTTTTTGGCTTCGTTTCCACTTTTGCAGGAGCAGGTTTCTGAAAGGCAAAGGGAGCACTCAGTTTCCTCACCAGGGACGGTCCCACGGAAAAGAAACCGTCTGGGGTCGCGTTACTTACAGCTGACAACCTGGCCGACCTCCTCTTGGGCTTTGGGAGAGAAAAGAGAATGAGCGGGGAGGGAGGGATGCGCGCGGACAGACCCGCCCCAGGCGCAGGGCCGCCTCTTACCTCCTCCTTCGCCGCGCCCTCGGCGGAGTTGACCTGCGGGAGGAAGCACAGGGCGAGTGGGCGCCGCAGCTACGGGGCCCCGAGAACAATGCCGGCCGCGTGACGTCAGCGGCTTCCCGCCGCCCGTTCGAATCTCCCATCCGGCCCCTAGCCGCCGAACGTTCCAGAACACCGCGCTCGGGCCGCCGTGCGCGCGGGCAGGCCCCGCGCCTCCCAGGAGGCCCCAGCGCCGCAGTGGAAGCGGCGGGGCCCGGGCTTGCGGGGCGGCGCGTACGCCGGAGCGCGGAGGAGGCGTGTGCGGGCCGCGGACGGCGCTCACCTTCCTCTTGGGCATCGTGCAGGCGCGGCAGGCGCGTGCCGGTTGCCTGCGGGCCGCGGCGCGCCGAGAGCCTTCGCGAAGCTGGGCTGCCTGGCCGCTGCCGCTCCTCCCGCCGCCCGAGCTGCTGCGACCCGCCGCGGGGGCGGTGGGAGAACCGGATGGAACCGGATTGGGAGCCCGCCCCCTCCTCCCTCCCCCTCCTCCCTCCCCCCCGCGTTTCCCGGCCTCGGGCTCCCCCTTCCCGCTGCCGGGCCGCCCCCCGCCCCATCCTATTGGCTGCGGGGCCCACCGCGCCGCAGCCCAAGCCCGGAATAGGCAAGGCAGGCTGTCACTCGACCACTGCACCCGCCCCCGCCCTCGCGCCCCCAACCCCCGCCCGCCGTCTCGCGGGGCCCCAGACCCAGGCGAGGGGGCGGGACCCCAGAGGCCGCTCTCACCTCACGGTAGTTTGTTTGAAGCCGAGCCGCAAAGTGCGGTCTGCGTGCCGATTGGCGGAGGCGCACCACGTGGCGGGTAGTCCCGCCCATGTTTTTCCTGGAGATCTGGGCGCCCGCCAGAACCCTAAAAGCCGCAGGGAACGAGTCCCTAGCTCCTGGGAGACTTACTGTTACTGGGAGGGGAGAGATCAAGTGCCAGGTAACTTCTTCCACCTCTGTCGGCAAGAAAGGCTATCTAGGGAGCCCAGCTTCGCATGCCTATGGGAAGCGGGTCCTACTGCGCAGGCGCCGGAGGGGAGGTCGTGGGAAGGAAAGCTGGCGTGGGCTAGGCGCCGGGCACTTCTGCGCAGGCGCAAGTCTTTGCGACTCTTCTGTGCCCACTGCTATTCTCCTCTTACGCTGAAGATCAGCAGGCCGGGGGCCGCCCACCTCCGGCCGTTCTTAACCTGTGGGGTCACCCGGCGACCACGTGCTGTTTTTCACCTAAGCACCTTTTAAAGTGGGAAAAGAACTTAAGGCTCTTTTTGAGCCTGAGCTGGAAACCCCGGAACCAGTGAGGTCGCATATTACCCTATTTCGTTAATGAAAAAATTACATTTAAAATAGGATGAATTGAGTTAATAGAAGTTTTGATGGCAGATTATCAGCTGGGATTCTTGGAAAGTGAGAGATGTGGGAGTATGTCTTGCCAATGGGTTTTAGCCCCCGGGCAAATTTGCTATGGATTCAGTGTGACCAAAAAAAATGACAGCAAAACATTCTTGGGGTGAAAGGTTTATACCCAACTTTATTTCCATGTGACAGGTCAGTCACTAAAAGCCCGTTCACTCAGAGCAAGTCTTCATGCAGCAAGCCAGTCTCTGCCTCTGGGCCCCTCTGTATGTACAGTCGTGCCTCTCTGCACAGTCGTCCCGCACAGCTGTCCTCTGGGCCTCTATGCACAGTCGTCCTGCGCAGCTGTCCTCTGGGTCTCTGTCCCAGGCGCTGCCACCACTCCAGCCTCTGCTCTGCTCTCCTGCAGCCTTGCAGCTCTGCCACCGTGTCATGCCCAGAGCACTGGGTGGAGCTCTTTTTATAGAGTCAACAGCCATGTATTGCCCACAGGTGTGCAGTGAGCTAGTCAACCACAGCCAGGTGAGAATCCTGGCCACAGGAACTCTCATTTTATCTACTGAGTACTTTTAGCCCAAAACATTGGACACAGACCAACTGTCCATCCTTAAAGATGCCGGGATAAATGGTGGCACCGTCACAGAACGGAGCTGAGCTGCCACAGAGAGGCAGTTTTTTATGGGGGAAGTGAAGTTTGAAAACCACTGGTTGGACCGTGTGGCTGCTAGTCAGTAACTCTAGTGACTTCCCTTCTTATTCGAGAAGGTCTGAAGCCCTTAGACTGGCTTGTAGAGCACTCTGCAGCTGGCCCACTTCACTGATTCCCAGAGCCTGTCACCTGCTGTTTCCTGGGCCTCACCTCCTTCGCCAAATTTCACCTTCTCAGCCCTTTTCCAGCCGTTCACTTTAAAAAGTGAAGCTCCCTATCTACGTTTTCTGCCCCATTTTCTCCGTAGCGTCTATGGAATATAGCTATACTGAATATAAAGTTATACACTCAATGAATTTCAGGAGGGATACACAAGAAAGTGGTGTCAGTGGTAGTCTCTGAGGAGAACAACTTGGGGAGGGGGTGGGGGGACTGGGTAGGTTAAAATGTATCCTTTCCTCTTTCCTCTCTACTACCTGAAAAAAAAAAAAAAGATTCACATCATGGAGTGTCTGAGTTTGGGGCATGGACATGTACAGAGCATCTGCCCTGTGCCAGGCATTATGATAGGCCCTGGAGTAGAGAGACTACACATTGGGCATGTATCCCAAGGACTGGGAGTGGTAGTTTAGTGGGGAGACAAAGTACACAGATTGGCCTAGTAAGGGAAAGGAAGCTACAGGCAAGGGGATTGCACATGCCAAGGCACGCAGACTTAGGAGGATGCAGTTACCCTCCGGAGCCTCCAGAGTAGCAGGATGGTGTAGAGAATGGACAGTGAAGAGTAGAGGAAAAATGAGAAAGGACACCTGCAGAAGGCATTTTGTGCCAGGCTAAGGAGTTTGGCCCTTATCCACTGCAAGGTCTTAAAGGGAATGGCATCCTGAGATCTGAACTTAACCTCATAAAGGTCTTTCTCCAATGAAAACTGAAGATGCACGAGCACAGAGGTGACAAGCTGGTAGCCTACAGACACTTGCTTTAGCACATAAAGTTGGCAATGCAAGCACAAAAAGTAACCAAAGAACTCAGTAGAAAGACTGTTTGGTAGTATCTTTTAAAACTAAGCAGACACTCTATGACTCAGTAATTCCACTCTTAGAAACATACCCCAAAAATGCTCACATCTGTTCACCAGAAGACTTGATTGAAGTAGAGTATTCACAGCTCAATTACTTTTATAGGCCCAAACTAGCAACAGGAGACTGGATGAATAAAGGGAAAACTGTTCAGCACTGAGAATGGACTGCGCAATTACACACAACAAATGTGGATGAATCTCACAAGCACAATGTTAAAAGATGCTGGACCCAAAAGAATACATAGAGTGATTTCATTCATAATTTACAAAGGCAGAAGAAAACAAATCTGTTTGTCAAGATAGGTTGGGGGTGACACTGGGGACTTGTAACTAGACTTTAGGGGGTTGGTTCTATTTCTTGATCTGGACGTTGGTTGCACTGATGCCTACACTTTGTGAAAATTGAGCTATGTGGGTATGTATACATTTATGGGTTTATATGAGGAGCGAAGTTTTAAACATTTTTTTTTTGGCCACAGTTCAAAATCACATGATTTCACACAGAAATTCAGCCCTTCACCTTCTTCTGGCCTCCTTTGTATGTGCATTCCACAGACTGCACTTGACCTCCTAACCTTTAAGGAGGCATCCTTTATCCAGCTGGCTAGGGTTCCAGCCCTGCTGATTTTTTAAAAAATTAAAGTACAATTGATACACAATCTTATGTTGGTTTCAAATAACTAAGCACAGTGGTTCAACATTCCCTCATATTATCAAGTCCTTACCCCCTCCGGGGTGGTTACTGTTCATCAAGTGTTAAGATGTTACAGCATCATTAATTGTAATCTCCGTGCTGTACTTCCGTCCCTGTGACCAACCTATATTGTGATTTCGAATTATTGTGCTCCTTAATCCCCTTCTCCCTCCACTCCCACCCTCCTCGACCTCTTTGGTAACCACTAGTCTTCATCTTGGTTTCTATGAGCCTACTGCTGTTCTGTTCCTCCTGTTTTGCTTTGTTTTATATTCCACAAATAAGTGAAATCATTTGGTATTTGTCTTTCTCCACTTGGCTTATTTCATAATAATACCCTCTAAATCCATCCATGTTGTTGCAAATGGCTGGATTTCTTTTCTTTTTATGGCTGAATAATATTACACTGTGTACATGTACTGTGGTACATATCATCTTTATCCATTCATCACACTTAGGTTGCTTTCATATCTTCGCTGTTGTAAACAGTGCAGTGATAAACATAGGGGTGCATATGTCATTTTGAATCAGGGGTCTTGTTTTCTTCAGGTAAATTCCTAAGAGTAGAATTCCTGAGTCAAATGGTATTTCTATTTTTATTTTTTTGAGGAACCTCCAGATTGCTTTCCACAACAGCTGTATCAATTTACATTCCCACCAACAATGTAGGAGGGTTCCCATTTCTCCACATCCTCACCAGCATTTGTTATTTCTTGTCTTTTGGATAGTGACTGTTCTAACTGGTGTAAGGTGATAACTCATTGTGGTTTTCATTTGTATTTCTCTGATGATTAGCCATCTGAAGCATCTTTTTTTATGCTTGTTGGCCATCTGTATTTCTCCTTTGGAGAAATGTCTGTTCAGGTCCTCCACCCATTTATTAATTGGGTTGTTTGTTTTTTGGGTGTTGAGGTGTATGAGTTCTTTATTACTTTGGATGTTAACCAATTGTTAGATGAGTCATTTATGAATATATTCTCCCATACTGTAGGATGCCTTTTTGTTCTGTTCTTTGCTGTACAGAAGCTTTTTAGTTTGATGCAGTCCCACTTGTTCATTTTTTATTTTGTTTCCCTTGCCTGAGTTCAGGAAAAAGTTGTTCATGTTTATATTCAAGAGACTTTTACCTATGTTTTCTTCTAAGAGTTTTATGGTTTCATGACTTATATTCAATTTTGAGTTTACTTATGTGTATAGAGTTACACAATAATCCAGTTTCATTCTCTTACATGTTGTCCAGTTTTCTCAACACCAGTTGTTGAAGAGGCTGTCATTTCCCCATTGTATATCCATGGCTCCTTTATCATATATTAACTGACCATATATGCTTGGGTTTATATCTGGGCTGTCTATTCTGTTGCATTAATCTGTGGGTCTGTTCTTGTGCCAGTACCAAATTGTTTTGATTACTGTGGCTTTGTAGTAGAGCTTGGAGTCAGGGAGCGTAATCCCCCCAGCTTTGTTCTTCTTTCCCAGGATTGCTTTGGCTATTCGGTCTCTGTTGTGGTTCCATATGAATTTTAGAACTGTTTGTTCTAGTTCATTGAAGAATCCAGACCTGGTGATTTTTCTCACCTGTATTTTCTTCCTGGCCTCTGAAGGCATTTCAGTTTATGATGCCTATGTAGTAACTACAGACACTACCTTTTATATTTTCATTTATTTTTGGAAGAAAATACTTATATGTGGTTCAAACTTCCAAAGATACAAAGAAGGAGTCTCTGTTTCACTTCTGTGCCCTTACATAGCTAGTTCTCCAAAGGAGAAGCCAATGTGGCTGCTGCTCATATATCCATCCAGAAATACTTTACGCCTATATAAGCAAAGATACTTATATGTGTGTGTGTGTGTGTGTGTGTGTATATATATATATATATATTCTTATTTTCACACTATTTGGCACCTTGCATTTTTCATGATGGAATTTGTTTCTTATTAGTACTTATAAATTTCTTCCTCTTTTTTATTGTTGCATTGTATTCCATTGCATAGATAGATATACCAACCATTTTAAAACCCATTCTCTACTGAATGGACTTCCAAGTTGTGTCCAGTCTTTTGCTCCTACAAAGATTCTTC